CTTCCATTTATTCCACAATTTACTGAGTTTACAGTTTTGTTTTGTTTTTTTTTTTGGTGGTGGTGGTACTGGGTCTTGAACTCAGGGCCTCACACTTGCTAAGCAGGCACTCTACCACTTGAGCCACACCACCAGCCCCCACTTATTGAGATCCTACTATATGCCAAACACTGGACTTGGTGTCAGACATATGAATAGAAGTGAACAGGTAATAATCTTTGTGCTCTGAGAGGTTACAGTCACAGGGACAGCCTTAGGCTTTACATATCCTTTCTTCACTAAGGTGCTAGACAAGCCTCCTTTATAACCTTGGCACAAGATAGAGACACCACATATTGATTTATGACCCTACCTGAAGAAATATGGGTCAAGGCCTGCAGAAGCCAAGGGCTTCTACCTATTTTGTCCAGGGCACTGGGTGAAGGTTGTAGCTGATATATCCTCTAGGCTCCAGCCACACCTAACTTTCTACAGCTCTGTCTCTGAGCTTTGCCTCCCATTTTGCGTTCCCACTGTCTGTCCTGTGTTGGGTGGCCAACTCTTACCATCTCCAAATGTCAGGCTACTGCTAAACTAGCCCTCAATTCTGGGTTAGGGTGTGTCTGCAGTATGCCCCCAGTTCTTCATTCTTGTACTCAATTGAGTGCTTATTTAGCTGTTTGCTGCTCCATGAGACTTTGACCTGTAGCCTAACTTGGGCAGTTCTGTCTTGGTCAAGACTCCGTCCCAAGATCTAGCGCATTAGCTGGCATAGGTTAGGATCTTAATAAGTATTTGCTATTGATAATCAGGTTCTTAATGTTCCTTGGTCACAAGACTATAAAGTTCTGACCAGTCCCCTTTTCTTATCTGACTCTTGGTAACACTTGTAACAGCTTCTGTCTTGAAACTCCTTTCTGTTTCAGAACTGCTGTTCTCTGCTGGTTTTCTTCCTAGCCATATGGTTATCTGACTCGGCTGCCTGACTAGAGAGGGGAGAGCACTGACAATAGACATTTGTTAGTGGTCTTCTGAGCATCAATTATCCCCTCTCTCCCCACCAGCTATCATTTCCTTGAAGGATTCTATGGTTCAGGAGAAGTTGATACCACACCAGGTTTTCTAACTATAGTCTGCAATCTGGGTAAAGCTATCAGCATATCCTATACTTCTGGCTTGGGGACTGGCTCATGGATGGCATTAATCTCAGCCAGTACAACTGGAAGGAAGCTTGTTGGGCCTTGTGATGGCCAGAGATCCTCTCCTTTATGGAAGGATTAATTCTGGGTGCCACTCTTAAGATGAAGCCTATACTGAGGAAGCTGAGCAAAGAAATCAAAAGAAAATGGGTCCCTGTTGACATTGCTGTGTCCTTGGATCAAGTGTGAATTGGCCTAGGCCAGTGGTTACCTTGTGACTTTCTGATTTCCTGCATTTCTTTTCTTGTTTGAGTTGACCTTTGTGTTACTTGGAACCAGGACCACTCTTACCATGCTGCTTTCTCTTCCATCCCTCAGAAGTTGGTGTTTTCAGTATGTCTTCACTCTTTGCACTTCCACACTTGCCCTGGGCAGCATGCTTTTCTTCTATGACTTAAATCATATTTATATGTGCCTTAGTGCATTTTATCATAGTATTAACAGAGTGCCACAGATTGGATAACTTATAAACAACAGAAATTTATTTTCATGATTCTGGAGGCTGGGAAGTCCAAGATCAGGTGCTGGCATCTGGAGATTTCTTTCTTGCTGTGTCTTCACATGGTGGAAGGCAGAAGGGTAAGAGAGCACTAACTCCTTATCAAGCTCCTTAATAAGAACACCTGATCCCAATTAACAAGGGAGGAGTGACCCTATCATCTCTTAAAGGCCTTCCTTTCAGTACCATCACATAGGCACCCCTGTACTTTGGAGGGGACACATCCAAACCATAGCTGTATGTTTCCAGCTCAGCCTCTTCCTTGAGTTCTCTGCCTGTTGAGCTGGTTGCCTGCTAGTTATTTCCATAGGGTTGTCTGGGTGGGATCACAATCCTAACACATCTTGAGATGAGAGGAACTTATCTTCACTTTGCAAGCTGCTTCTCCCCTCTTCTCTTTTGCTCCTTGATTGGCATTACCATCCACCCAGTGGCCTGAGCTTAAACCTGGGCACATTCTCATCTCCTCCCCTGTTGCTTTTCCTCCTGCCTGTCACATTGTTCCCCACTTCTGGTCAGTTCTTTCCCCAGGCTATACCCTTCAAGAGCATCTACCTCCATCCATCTTCTCTGTCGTGCTATCACCATACCAACCTGGAGCTTCCCAACAGCCCTACTTCTGATCTCTCCCATGTACCCAAAAGGGGTCCTTCCAAAGTAAGGCACAACGCCCCTACTGTGCTTAACTCTTTTTTTTTTTTTTTGAGACAGAGTCTCCTATGTAGCCCAGACTGGCCTTGAACTCACGATCTTCCTGACTTAGCCACCCAGGTGCTGGGATTTCACCTGGATTTCACCCAGAGCATCAGCAAGTTCCCTCATGATGGGGTGTAGGCCCAGCTCAGGGCTCCCCACTTCTCCCTCCCTCACCTGGCTCTGGACTCACCACCTGAGGTCTTGCTCTTCATTACCTCTGTGCATGGGTCTTTACATATTCTGTACCCTTTGCCTGCAGTGTTCTTCCTTTTAGTTTTTTTTTTCCCTTTCTCTGTTTTGATCTAAAGGACTCAATTTAGGAAACACTTGTTTCTGGATGCCTCCCCAAATCTCTGTTCCAAACTCATACCAGCTCATGCCACACTGGCTCAGTCTGGCTTGTGAGAGAGCCAATACCGGCACCTCTTCCCAGTACCGAGCTAGTGATGCCCCATTTATAACTTACAGTCAGCATGCTGGAGGTATTCACACCACAGAAAGCTGAAAAGCTACAAGTCAGGATGTTTTTGCTTGTTTGCTTAGTGTTTCTCAGAGATACAGTTTTCTAGCACACTGGCGCAAAGCTGCTGGCAACTTGCCCATTTCCTTTGTAACCAATGGGATCCGTGGGGGACAGCCCCAGAAGCTGGTCACCCTCTACCCTCTGCCTCTGCACAGTGATTGGCCCACAAAATGGTGCCAATGTGGGGTTGACATGGGCACTCTTACCTTTCTATTCACTGCACAGAAGCTGAAAGTCCACACTTTCTTTCCTTGGACTCCTCTGACAGTTTATAGTCCATTGTGCGTCCTGAGGTGGAATTTGATTGGTCAGTATCTCCATTGTAATTGCATGAACCTGGTCTAGTCTTCCAAAGGAGACATGTTTCCACTCATTTAAATTTAAAGTAGATGCTTTTCCATTCCTTGGGGATGTGCCATTTCAGCAGAAACAAGGGGAGTTTACAGAAAGGAAACTGATGAAACAACCCATCCAGGAACATTTTCTCAAGAGGTGTCATCATTGCATGACTGAAATTCGAGTTGGAAAGTCAGATGTCTCTTTGGTTGGGCTCCACCCCTGACTTGTCAAGTGAACACTGGTGTAGTTTGTCCTTTCCGCTTTCCTTGGAGTAACATCCATCCTCCTGTGATTCTAAGGGACAAACTTATCAGCTAAAACAGTATTTCAATGACAAATTCAGTTTCTTTGCTCAAATAATTTCTAGTCTTGGTTTAAAGACTTTAAAGATTCTATAATTCGCTAATATTTTTTGGGCATATACTCTGTGGTAGATTCTGTATGAGGAGCAGTGGATTCAATTTGGCAAGACAGCACTCTTTTTTCTAGGGAATTTGTGTTCTAGTCCAAGAGGCAACCCAGGTAGACATGAGCTGATTACGAGTGGGAAGTGCTTATACAGGGACCAAATGAGAATGAGGCACAGGGGGGCAAGGAGATGAATTCACTCAGCATGAATTTGTTGAGTGACCCCCACAGGCCAGGCTAGGTTCTGGGGATATGGTATGTACCTGAAAGGATTAGTGACCTTATAGGAAGAGACACCAGAGAGCTCTGTCTCTGTACACATGCATGGAGGAAGGGCCACAGAGGCATTTAGTGAGCAAGTGGCTATCTGTAATCCAGGGGGAGAGCCCTCATCAGACACCAACCCTGCTGGCACCTTGGTTTTGGACTTCTATCTCCAGAACCATGAGACAATACATGTATGTTGTTTAAGCCACCCAGTCTCTGGTACTTTGTTTTTTAAGCCTAAACAACAATATACTCAGCAATTGACCTCTAGAAGCAGGGGTTGGCAGTTTTTTTGTGACAGGACTAAACAGTAATATTCCAGATTTTGTTGGCCATTCAGTCTCTGTCTCAACTACTCAACGCTGCACTGACCTGTGAAAATAGCTGTAGATATCACATAAATGAATGGGCATGGACTGTTTTTCAATAAAACTTTATGGATGGGCACTAAAACTTGAATTTCATTTTTTCACATGTCCTGAAATGTTCTTTTGATTTTTCAAAACCCCTTTAAATATGTAAAAAAGTCTGAGGCCAAAAGCCATATGAAAACTCATGACTCCAATCATAAAGAAAAACTCTTTATGCTAAAATTATAGCTGCATGTACTGTCATGCCTGAGTAATAATAGTCCTGGAAGGGGAAAAGGGAGCTTTCGCTTGGGGGTCTTTAACTGTGGTCACCCAAATGACTCTTGAAAAATGTACTGTCATCTGTAAACCCAAATATTTGTGTACAGTTTGCATGCTGGCTGACCTGTTTTCATATGATTGACTGGATCAGACAGCAGGTCAAATAACTTCTTTTTCAAATCTTAATTCAGGAGTATGTGCAAGTGGAAATTTGAATATATTCAGGATTTTGATGAAATAGAAAGTTGAACTTGGATCTGTCTGGCTGCTGGGCATACCTCTTAGCAATTTGGATTCTTTGCTTTCCCTGCTTTAGAAGTAGGAGCTAACAGTAGGAGCTTGTGGTGTGTGCGTGAGCCAATGAGAAAGTTTTAAATCACATCATGAATACTACTTGTACAAAATGTTTACATTTCTTTGCAGACACCAAACCTCCCTACCTATCGGCCTCACTGGGGGGACCTGCTCAGAATGGGGTCTCCTTGATTCCCATTGCTTTTCCATTTAGGGAGCACCTGCCATCAGTATTCCAGAAAGAAGCAGATTCAAAGAGTCTGCAGCCTGCACTATGCCAGAAGCCACTATTAGAAGGAAAAGAAACTTAGCAAAGAGAGGTATGGAGGAAGTTGGGACATGGAGAGGGAGAAGTGGGGAAACAGGTGGAGTTTCAGCTTTTGTTGAAGAAAAAAATTGAATATGGACAGCATTTGGATTGTCTTGGAAATCAGAATTGACTAGGAGCCCTCCTGAAGTGTGTGGAGGAAGCCCATGGATCACCTGCCAGGACAAATGCTCTGGTCTCCCACCAGACGCCCAATCTTCTTTGATGAACAGAGCTTTCTATTAAGTAAACAGTCAAGGCCTAATTGGATCATTGGTGTGGTGTCACAGTAATTAACGCACAGCCTGGAGTCGTTACATAAACTGAACAGCACCAAGCACAGCCGGGAAACTGGAGGGGGCTGTGGGATCCAGCCAGCCAGCCAGACCTGGGCTCCATTGTTGTTGGTGATGAGGAGAAATAGCAGGAATGTCTCCAGGACACACTCTGTGTTATGCGAAGATTAAAAAAAAAAAATCAACAATGGCTGAGTAGTGATTAGGGCTTTATTACTATGCTTAGCCAAGAGTAGATGAAAATGACCCCAGAAGAGAGTACAATGTTCACACTGATTTTGTGTCTTGTTCACTGGCTAAGACCGCAGTGCCGACACTAATCTGAGCTAGTTTAAACCTAAAAAGAACTCACTGTAAGGAGGTGGGAGGACACCGAGGGCGGAACAGCTAGGGGAAGCTTGCTAGTCTCTTGCCACGTATGCTGTGTTCTGGAAAGGCCACCTCCTTGTTTGCTTCTAGCCTGAGGTTTTCTCCACTGGCGGTCTAGTCAGTGTTGAACACTCAGTTCTCTGGTGAAAGAAAAGCCTTCGTTGGAAGAAAGGCTCTTCGAGTGACTACCTCCAGCAAGGTGTTTGGCAAATACTGATTCAGAGCCGCCAACACGAAGGCAAAGTTGGGAAGAGCTGTGCGGTAGTGTTCCATGACCTTGTGCCCCCCTGTACAGATGTATGCAAATAGCTCAAGAGCAGAGACAGTAGCAAAACGTAGTGAAGAATGAGGAGGTGATGAGTCCTCAGTAGTTGCTTCCTTTGCTTTTATATAATTTATTTAAGTTTGAATAAATTACTTATTTTGTGGTGCTGAAGATGGAAGGAACCCAAGGCCTCGCACATGCCAGGCAAGCACTCTGCTTGGAGCTTCACCTCCTCCGTGTAGTGGAGTGAGTGCTGGGGGACTGAGCCCAGGGTCTCATAAATGTCGATCAAATGCTCTGACACTAAGCCCAAGTTAATTTTTAACAATGGCTCTGTTAAGAATTTTGACTTGCAAAATCTCTGATAATTTAATAATCAGCTTTTTGGAGCTGGTCCATAGGAGCTGAGTCTAGAACACTACTGCTTTCCCCCCTTCTCAGTGCATAACACAAGGCAGCATATGGCTGCCCACAGCTCTCTCCCAGAGGGATTCCCTAACAGCCTTATTTTTATCTTCAGAATTCTATGTTCTGGGCATTGTCTCCTTTTTACAGATGAGAAAACTGAGGCCCATAGAGGTTTGGTTACTTAGTTAAGGTCGCACAGCTAGTAAATTGCAGAGCGGAAATTCATATTGAAGCCTTTCCTTACTCTCCCAAAGCCCTCTTTCCATCAATCAGGTTATCTCTCATGTGGAGATAACATGCCAAATCAGATGCTTGGCCAAGTAGTAAATTTCCTGATCCTGGCAAGGAATTGAAACAAGTGGGCTGAATAAAAAAATGGGTACGAGAGGAGAATTTGAGTAAGAGGAGCCAGAGCAGAAGCGTATATACCTTTGTCCTCTACCCCCCACCCCCAATCTCACTGCAACTGTCTGCTTTCTTCTAATCTCTAGGGGCAGGAGGCAGATACTGACTTCATTGTAATTTAGGGTTTTGTTGCAGATCCTGTCGAGTTCAATAGGGGTGTGGACGCTCATTTTTACTTTATTCATTGTTTGCCTTCCTTGGCCACTTTTGTGTACGTCTGCCCCCAGGTACTGGGCACTGTTAATTCTTCCTGCAATTAGTATTTGTGGTCAGCTAAGCAGAACTAATGCAACAAGCCGTTTTTACTTTGAAGGTTATATTACATGTTTCCGAGCTCATGGAAAGGCTCTTTATGAATGAGATATTCTTGACTATCTCTAGGAAATTAATTTTCCTTTTTTTTTTCTTAATTTTCAAACCTGCCTATTGAATTCTTTAATGTGATTCCTCAGGAAGCACTCAGAGTCAGACAGAGAAGAGAATGCAGTCAAATTGTTTGTATTTAAAGATGTTTCCTTTGGGAATGGGCAGGATGAGAGCACACGCTCCTGACTGTCTGAGGGTGGCTGTTTCTGTGGTTTACCAGTTCCACGTATATATAAATTGCTTTGGAAAAAAGTTCTCACTCTTGTAAAATGATACAGGGGGTGGTGCTGCTGAGAATTCTGATTTCTGATCATTTCAAAACGCAATGTAATTGGGGCTCAGGTGGTGGGGGGCCTGCCTAGCAATCCTAAGTCCTGAGTTCGAACCCCAGTCTCTAAAAACAAACCAAAACAAAAAACCCCTCTATGCAATTATTACAGGTAATTTCCCAGGCAACAGAAGCAGAAAAAATATCTTTTTAAAAAGTCTTTAATTTTTTTTTTTTTTAGCAAAGTGTAATTTCATACTAAATGCATGATGCTAATGAATACTTGAAATGGTTCAAAATGGTCAGAAAATTCATTTAGCTGCTTTGGAGAAATTGTGATGACTGAAATGATGGCACAAATCAATCACCTAGTGATGTAAATGTGCTTAACACAGTGAGCACATCCTGTTTCTAGTTGTCAGCACTTCAGATATGCTGACACTACTGTCTTGTGCTATTCTCTCTCTCTTTATCCTCCTTATAGTTAGAAGTAGCACCAGAAGTTTCAATTTATGTTACCCGAAAAAATGAAACAAAATCTATAAAAGAATATTCAACTTAAAAAACATACTTTTAAATTTTTGTTTCCTGAATCTTAACATATCAGATTTTGTTTACATTTTTCTTTTCAAGCTATTTTTTTTCTTATTTTAAAATTGGTAATTAATCTTTTTTGGACCCAGTAAGTCTTATGTCCTCAGGATTGTGTTTTCTATTTTGTTTTGACCCCTAGGAAGCTCTGAGTCAAAAAAGTTGTGTCTGGCTTCTGTAGCTTCTCCAGTTTGTTGGGACACTGTGGTGATGAACCAGGGGTATAGATACTGTCTCTGGATTCTGTTCCATGCCACATACAATCCCCTCTTACCTTACTGCTTCTTATTTGTTAAAAATGTTGATGGATTTCTGGAAGTCACCTACCCCTCTTCTCCATGTTAGAGAAAATAAGGTAGAGTATATAGGTGGGAAAAGGTGAAGGACTCCCTAAGAAGAGTCCCGTTTTTCTGTTGGGGTTGAGGTCTCCCACTCAAGCATCTCTGCTTCATTTACATCCCACTCCAGGACCCTACCTGTGCCCGGTGGGGAAGGCAGTAGAAGGATAGAGCAGGGGTGGTAAGGTGGCTGAGGAGTTGCTTAGCAAGAAGGCCGAGGAAGCTCACATTTCAAAGGGATCTTGAACTTACTGGGAGGAAGAGATTCTGCTCTTTGTGAGTGCAGCCCTCCTGGAGTCCAGTCCTCTTGGAGTCCATGCTCTGACTCTGGAGCATGGCCAGGGCACAAGGAGTGGGCCTTTCTGGCCAATAGGCGGAGGTTCTGCACCCAGCAGAGACCAGAGTCTGCAAACCAAACAGTCCTATGGTAAGTAATACACATCATGTCTAAAAATACTGCTTCCTCCTCCCTCTTGCCCTCACTTCTTCTCCACCAGGTCTCTCTTGAGGTGGGCCTCCATCGGATCCCACAGAGACCACATCCACTTGGAGAATAATGCCTTGTTGCCTATACTGCCCTGCATGGGCCATGCAATGCCCTCCCCCAGGGGAGATAAGGAGGTCTTTTTTGAAAATACTTATTTTCCTTGGAGAATTCTACTAGAAGAACTGTATAAACCTACAGTTGAGTCTGGAAGAGAAAGCAAAGCAGAGCATTCTCTCCTAAAATCTGTTTAGTTAGTAAGATTCCTAAAGAAACACACACACACACACACACACACACACACACACACACAAATACACATGAATGCCAAGCTCTGTTTTGCTCTGATTAAAGCATAAAATCCATTCTCTTTCAACATACAGAATCATGTTGGCTTTTTTCCTCCCAGAGAATGCTGCAGATGTGTAATCCAGTCTACTGACTGTTCATTTCCAGGTAAAAAGGGGGGAAAAGATGTCTGTTGATAGGTTTCTTCTCAAAATGTGTGGTTCGGACAACAGAAATTTCTGACAAGTCAAGTGCAGGTGATTAAAGCCTGCAATATAAATCAGTTAACATCTGTAATTTTCCTTGTTCTCCAATGCTATTAGTTATTTCAAGGGTAAAAAAAGGATGTTTTACTTAATTTTTTTGAATCTTACTAGGTACCCGTAACTTAACTTAATGATTTGTATAAGTGATAGTAATTGCTGGGACTACAGTTGAGTATTATTAGCTATAAAATGAACATGGTTATATGTCCAACAGAACTAGCAAGGGACAGAAATGCAGTTGTATCCAAGAGAAAATAATTACAGCAATAATCAGTGTAATTCATGATAATGGCTGAATTGAATTTCACACCATAGCTCCAAGCACTTACATTTAATGAATGTAGTTTGTGCTTGTTTACTAAAAAGGTTTTTAGCAGAAAATCGATAATGTAACTTCAGTGTTTCTAATTGCAAATGCAATTATTTTTTTTAAAGTAGTGGTTCAATAAGGATTTTGTAGAGAAAATTGAGGTATGTGAGTGCTGCATAATGCTGGCGCTTTAATTAGTCTACCTGTACATTAGTGCCACTGTGCCTTAATATCTATTTATTACAACATATTGATTAAAATGGATTTGTATTCAATTTTAAGGCTAGCTAATGTAATGGACATTGAGACTTTTCTGGAAGCATTGGCTGGGATAACCACATGGTGCTGGGTAATGAGGCTTCCTTCAAGAGGTGATTTCAGAACTCACTGCACAAAACTGGTGGTGGGGCCAAGGAGGGGAGGGCCAGGATACACACCAGGTTCCTCAGAGCAAATGGCAGGGACGCATGTGTCCAAACCCAGGAGTGATGGGGATTCATAAAGTTGTATGGACCCCTGCTTACTTGGGATAACTTGTTTATACTTTTTTGGAGCCTGAGACATACCTGAAATGGTCATGTTGGACTCTAGGATCTTCCCCAAAGCAAAAACTTTTGACAGCTTTCCGAGTGTGGGGTCCACAGCTAGTCTAACCTTGCCCCCTTATTCTGAAGAAGCTGAGGGAATTCGCACTGCCTCAGGTCTCAGACTTTTGAGTGGATGAATTAACTCTATTTACATACAGCATGGCATTCATGGTTCATGCTGCTATAAAGCAGATTAGCATTCTTTGCCTAACTGTATTGCTTGCTCAAAACTAAGCCTGGGTCTCACCTTCTTTTCCCTTTGCTTATGTAGTCACCGTCACCATCACACCACTGCCATCACTATCCCCTTCTTCTTTGATGTCTTACCTCTATGCCCTGTAGGTTTGGTCTTGCTAGGCATTATGGGAGACTTACCATACTTACACCAGAGGGTGAAGATTAGTTCTTGAAAAGCTGAAAATCCCTCAATAGTCCACATTCTAGATACATCACTGGGCATGGATTTCTAACCTTGCTTTAATGATGTCAATATTTCAAAACCAAATTAATTTTGAACTCAAGTAAAGGATGGAGTAGGATTGTGTATTACAAATTTATAACCAATATTGATAAACTATTGAGACCCAAGAGGTTTTTAAGTCCCAACTCACAAAATATCCTGAAGGGTCTCTATGAGAAGCTATAAATCTGAGTTTAAGGAGGTATTTCATGTAGTCTTATTAAAGATGAGCCCTGACAGAAAGCATGTTGAGTTTCTGGGTCACTCTAACCAGGCCTGGGTTGCTAGCCTTTCAGACAACTGTTACCTGGCAGGGCTCCCTCCACCTCCAAAGAGCCTTTCCTAAGAATGCAGGGCCCATAGGCCACTGACTCTTCTGTCTTCCTATGGTATATTAGACAACAGGCCACTTTGTGGGTACTTCCTCCATGTGACACACTATGCTAGATATATCACACGAACCATCTTCTTTTACAACTCTTTGAGCCAAGAAGTATTGTTTCTCCCATTTTCCAGACAAGGACACTGAGGCTCAATGAGGTAGTTCAATGGTCTGAAGAGAGACAGCTAGAAAATCAGTGGAATTGCTGGAGTTCCAGGTGCTCTCCTGCATGCCTCATTGGCTTTCTGTTGTATGTCCTGCGTTCAACTCCAACACCACTGAACTATTGTTAGGTTGTGCCATCAGGTGTATATTTTTCCTCTGTTGATTAAAAAAATCTGATTTCTGTCTCTCTCTCTCTTTTCCTCCCTCTACTCCTGATACCCTGTTCATTAATCACTGTTAGGTAAGTGAGTGATGGATGTCAAGGCACAGGTGAAGCTGACTTAATTGTGTCTTTCTTTGCACAGAATGCTGTCTTCCATGTCAGGTGTGGGCCTTGCACCACCTCCCTGGAATCTGGAGGCTGAGTTTGCATGCAGCCCTATGCATGCAATATTGAGACCATGTTGGCACCTGCATGATAGCACACACATGTGCCTATCATGTGCGCCGTTCCACCTTCACATCAACTGTGTGCTCTCTGGGGGTTCCTTCACTTCTTGAACCTCGATTTGTACATCTGCAAAGTGGAGCTAATGATGCCTGCACTGACACACTCCTGGGTTTGTTGACAAGAATAAGGTAGGATCTTTTATAATCCATGCATTTTGGAAACTTTGAAGTGCTTAACTAGGGCAGGGAATCCATCTAATTGAGGAGGAGGATAAACAAAAGCCACCGGATGAATGGGGTTTCCGGTATCTGATTCAGTCCATCCATAGGAAAACAACCATGAATGTACCAATCCTTAGTCACCCTCAATGAAGAAACACCCAATCCTTCGATAGCTTGAGTCATTAGTCTATGGATTAAAAAATTCACACTTAACCAACCTATCTTTATCCTTTTTGGCATATGATGTATTTACAATATAGCTCCACAGAGCCAACCAGGGGCCCCTGCCTGGTGGAATGAGGTCTCTGCCAGGCTGGAAAAGACAGACACTGTAACTGTTTGACCAACAAATGTATAGAAAATAACAGCTGGTAAGTAGCAATTATACAATAATCTTGTCCAAAGAAAATGGGAACTCAAATTAAGATGATTTCACCAGGAAAACATTAAGGTATACAAATAGTTCTTAATAAATAGAAATAAATAGTGCAGGGTTTGTGCCATGGTTATTTGGGATGGTTATCTGCCCTAGCTGCTGTGGCTCTGGCTGCATTTTGCACGGGGCTCAGTGCAGCATTTTGCTCTACAAAAACAACTAGCTCCTTTCCAGCCAATGATTACTTGTAATTATGCTTTCCCCTGCTATTATTCTAATAGACCTGTCATGTTGCTCGGAGGACTCTGGCGTTTGGAATATACAACGGCTTTTATGGATGGACGGCTGGAACACTTAATATAGCTCTATTTTTGAATTATCAAGTTCTATCCTTTTGAAGTCTGTGTTAGTGGAACTCCTATTTATGAGATGTGCTGTGCTTAAAGGTTTGCTATGGACGAAGAGGTCCAATAGAGCCTTTATTGTAAGTACGGCAGCATTCTCTCTGAGAGATAAATAGCCGTGCTAAAAGGTATGGTGTGTACCTAGGCTGCAAATTACTAGCCAAGTACCTCATCACAGTATACTTCAAAAATACCTTTATGCTTCTTGTTTGTTCTCCTTTCCATAGAGATGAATGACATTTCTTAAAACATAGAGGGTGGAGGCATGCTGGTCATCCTTGGTCATCAGCATTAATTGGGTTGGAGGAACACGTTTGTTCTGGCACAGGGCATCTGTCTGAGGACATATGCACAAACATGGCTTGCAGCCACTGTGCTTACTGCTTCAGGAATTTGCTTGGCTTGTTCGTTCTTTTAAATGAAAGGTGGACTTGCCTGGATCCGAGCATTTTTTGGAGGGGAAAGATGGTTGATGACAGTGGGTCAGTGAGGCACTGGTGCTTGTTCTGGGGAATCTGAGAAAATTGCTGGGGGCCTAGGGCTTCAAGCAGGGATATTCACAGAGTAGGCCATGGTGTTCTGTATCCCACAGCAGCAGAAATCTTAGAAGAAATCTTAGAAATCTTCTCATGGCCTGATGAGAAGTTACCATCAGAAGTGTCCTCAAAGGTGGGCAGTTTGATAACCACCACCTTGGGGTTGAAGTTTCCTTTAGTAGCTATCCAAAAGAGCTCATTTGTGAGCACAAAGGGAGAGGCACTTGGGGCTAAAGTAATTGGAAAACACAGGTACTTTTTTTTGGTGGGGGGGCACCCTGGGAAGCTAGCGAGTGAAAAGATACATTGTGTGATTGGCACATACAGGAATTTAGGGGAATGTCGCTCTAGCTCCCTTATGCTGTACAGAAATATACTTGAGATGCTCCAAGCTTCCAGCCAGCATCCTGGAAGCAGACCTCACTCCCTTGGCAGTTGACTTGGCAAACACAGAGACAGGCCCACGGAGCAGCTTCTGACCATGCAGCAAGAATTCGCATCGATTTCCCCAAAGAACAGGCTATTGCTCCAGTGTTTGCCTGGTGTTTTTCATTTGGAACCTTCATGCATCAGGACCTTGACTAAACACGCCCTGTCTAATTCATCTTTACCCATATATTTTGCCATTACGGATAGCCTTCCCCTTAAGCTTGTCTATTTACTAGCTGATGTGACAGATGACAGCGACTCTGAGCCATGTTAGATGGCATTTGTGTGGCTCCGGTGCCAGAAGCATTCTAAGTGCCGGGGTTGCATATTTATTGATCTCCATATTCCCAATAATCTGATGCCCGTCACATTTGACAACATCATGTGTAGAGGTCAGCTAGATGGGGCTAATGAAACTGTTTCCAAGATGGATGTGACTTTCTACAACATTACCCTTGCAAATAGCAGTCAGTGGGGTATTTCACTGTCGGGCCAGGCATTTGAGAACCTTTTTTTTTTTCTTTTAATAGTTGACGTTAACATTAAACAAAACCCGAAGCTATTAAATCTTAGTATTTATATATGATAGAAAACATGGATGCCCTGGCATCTTTCCAAATGAAAATCTCATTAAGGGACATGGCGCTTGTGGCAAAGTCCTCAGCAAGTACAGATTGGCTTGGCTGTCTAAAACGCTTGACGGATTAGTCTGAGATGATGTGAGGGACCAATGGGAAATGAAGTCTGGAGGATTAAACCAGCAAACAGCAAGGCTTGTTGCAGTCCATGGTGCCCAGCGCTTTCTGACTGTTTCTGAGCTTCTAGCTGCTGTAAGCAGCTAGCAAAAAATGCACTGAGGTTTAGATAAATAAAGCTCTGCAAAAACAAAACAAAAAACCCAACAAAGCAAAACCGAAAGAAAAGAAACAAATAAATAAAAAAGATTTGCAAAGAGGATCCAATTTAGTGAAATGCTGCATGGAAGTGAATGGCTCTGGAGATGTGTTGAGGCAGAGTGACCATGTTAAACACAGACTTTCTACACCTGTTCCAGGAGCCCTTTGAGAGTTTTGCAAAGGGGCATTTAGAGACTCCCCACTGTCTGTGTTGAGGTTTCCATGTCAGACAGTGATCCTGAGGGCTCTAATGGGAGCATACTGGGGATATTCCAGGTGGATATTTAAACAGTCAAAATTCATCGGTAGTTGTAAGCACCTATGTGCTGATGTGATTTTTGAGAAGCTTGTTGCCTGTCTTGGAGAATTTTGAGTTTTTTTTTTTTTAAAGCATAGTACATCTTTAGTTTGAAATGCAGTATTTTGCAGAAAACAGATTTAGTAGTTTCCTTCTTGGCAGTGTTCCTCTTCCAACTCTACCCTAGAGCAGACACAAAAAGGGAGCTATAGTAGAACTGGTAATGCGTGGCTACTGGTTATCCAGAACTTTGTCAACAGTGAACTCATTTATCCAGTGCTGGCATTTAGGAACATTAATGCCCCACATTTTTGCTATCACAAAAATTGAAGAACTTCTCGACATGTTTACTTTCTGGGGTTGAAAAGAGGATGTCAGAGGAGCTGATTAACTATTGAGCCTGTTTCCTTAGTGGATTTCAGTACCGCTTTCTAGCACACCCTCTTTAAGTTATGCCTTCTTCAATGTGTGGAGTGAAGAGGTAGGAAAGGATCGTTGAGTTTGAGAGTGCTGAAGTTCAGTGCTGGGCAGATGCTTCTGTTCTTTTCAGACGGAAAACTTGCTTTTCCTTCATCCCTCTCCTCCACTCTTGTGGAACATGTATCCTACCAAAAAAAGTGTCTTCTCTTTTGAGGAATACCAATAAGGAAAACAAAGTCAGACAAAGACCAATGTGAGCTCCCAATAAGGCAGAGTGGTACAGCATACTGCCTACAACTTAAGAGAATTCTCATTAAAGAAAAACACCATCAAAGAGTAATAGGCAAGAGATGCAAGTTAAAGCCACCCTAGGTAGCTTTAATTTAGGTATGAGCAAATGACACGGATAGTGGTTGCTATAGTAACTACTAGACAATATGGCATTTATGTTGCTATTGAGATGCCTGGACTTTACCAAAACAAGGGGAAAAGAAAAGACTTCCAGGAGCACGCAAGCACACACAGAGGGAACAATTCTCATAAACATTTTACTTCCTCCATTTTAGTGTTCATTTATAATGGAAGGAGTATTTACAGTTATATACAGCCCGTGGGTTGGTTTGTTGTTGTTATTAATATTTTTCTTAACTGAGATATCCATTTCAAAGCCTAGTCTTTGTGACATAGTTGAGGGCACCCTGGCCGCCAACTTGGCTGATTTCCAGGAGGAGAATTCCATGGTTCCACATGGAATGCTATACAGTGTGGGCCATGGTGGGTCTGTGGGAACACTTTGCCTTCAGGTTGAAATGGGTTTTAATTCCTATTTTATAAATAAAGCAATTGAATTCTCCCTCCCCCCCCCCCCGCCCCAAGATCAAATGACCAATGCCATCTCAAGACATTTGGGAGTGTTTAATCCTTCCAGAGTGTTCTCAAGAAGCAGATAGTTCTAAGAGACAGTGTGACTCTGTTCAATTACTGTCAAGCCAAATATTGCATCCTCTGAGATACAGCTAGTGGGCCAAGAATCTGCAGGAGTTGGGAAGAGAAAAGGATAAGGGCAATATGTGGTCAGCTGACTCAATTCCAATCAATTCCCAAAGCCCCTAGTGCCTGAGATGCTCCAGTACCTCACTGGTGCAAAACTCATTAGACTGTGAAGGAAGCAAGTAAGAATCAGTCTTTTATCTAGCCCCAGAAATTCTTTGGAATGATATATCAAAATGGTTATCTCATCTGTTGAAATTGGCTGGGAAATATCAGAATTTCTCTGGATATTTATGAGATTGCTGCATACCGGCTGGCTCTCTCCATGTGAGGGAATTACACAGATGCCTGCAGAATGTATAGGCAGCCCAGCACATTTATTTTTACAGAGGGTAATTATTACAGTCTCTCTTTCCAGAAATGAGCCTTTTGTTTTATGTTTTCAGTGAGAACTTGTGAAATATTAAGATATTTTACTGCCTTAATGTTCTGAATTGTTTGCTTCTCCATATTGCAATCTAAAACTCATTAACAGTTGAACAATTTAATCAGAATGAATCAAGTTGTGAAATGGATACATGGGCAGTTCACA